TTATTCTGTAACAAAGTTCACATCTGTCCTTTCATATTGGTCACTTTGTCATTGCTTTAGTCTCCCTTCTCACCATCAAATTCAGTTTTTCAAGGCTACCATCTTTATGTCCATCCAAGTTTCTGAGGTTTTGACCCAAGACTCATCAACATATATCAAGGATTTCCATTTAAAAAAAACTTTGTGTTATAAAGGTAGCTCCTCACAGTACAAAGAGATTTATAGGAATTGAATATAAGGCCATAACCTCTTTTGGAAGGATGCTGTTTCAGGACCTTACGTTACCTTAAGTTAGGGTGGTATCTTCTTTCACAAGAAGGTTTCTGCTTCCATGGTTTACTCCTTGTATCCCATTCTTCATCAGCTATTGGCACTTTACCAGTTCTGCCCAGTAAAACTCAAACGCCAACATTTTCCTAATCAAACAGTCTAGAATAACTCATTCATGCCTCCTTCTCTGCGGCATTTACTCCGCGCTGGTACTGCGGTACCACTACGTGCTCCTCCTCTACCAAACCCCAAGGACTTGGTCGGAGGGAGAGGAGGTATAGTGACTATATCGTATTGATTTCTTAGAATGTAAGTTTCACAAATATTTATGGAACAAATAAATAAGTGAATGAATAAATGAGTGAATAAGTTAAAAAATCATTTAGTGCCCATGATTTTTAGAGATAAAGGTCAGCAAAAAAATCTAACAAACATTCCGACGTCAAAGTGCTTTACATAGACTGCCTTATTTAATCTTCACAATAATCCGAAGAGTGTTGCTATTTAAAGAGGGAGTAAGTGATCCTCAGCGAAGTTTAATAACACGTAAGGACACATGAGCCTAGGACAGCCAACTCTCCAGGTTTGCCTTAACCCCAAAGTGTATACTCTTGCCACAAGACTTCCAGTCTCCATGGTGTCTTTCCCTTGAGTAATCCTAAAAACTCTGTAGACTCTATGCAGTGTCTACACCTTTCACATTTTTTAGGGGCTACTTATTTCCCCAGTAAAGTAAGCTACAGCCCTGGGAACAGACCTATTGATATCAAAACACATACCATTTACTGTTACAAATGAGCCTCCTAAATTTTAGAATCCAAGTATACAGTTTCACTGCATCTACTTCTATTAAACAGCTTGCAGAAGACTTAGAGGATGACAGTTTTGGAGATTTTATATTTTCTCCCCCGAATAAAAAGCTTAAGAGAGCTGCTATAATATGCCACGTGTTAGGCGTAGACTTTAGATGAAAGCAATTTATAATAAAACTTGGAAATGCTTTTGAGAAAATATAGAAAAATCATCTTCTCAAGGACTGCTTCATTCAGATACGACCCTTTGAACATCTGCCATTAGTGTTTGGAGTTTTTGAAATATTACTGATGCCCCAGCTTCCCTGGTAATAAAGATCCATGAGGCAATTTAGCGAGGACGACCGCTGGGTGAGCTTGCGGTTAATTTAGACGTAGTGCCTGGGAGTTACTCGCAATGACTGCATCTATTCTACCTTGCTCAGCACAACTCAGCAAAGGGGCTCTCCTGCCTAAGTTTGAAAGTGGTGCTACCCGTTCCAGAGGCTCAGCCCTCGTGAGTGCTGCCTGTTCATGTCATCTGACTTAGGGATGGGTCCCTGTGGCTTGAATTTGAGGATGCGGAGAAGTGCCAGCAGCTTGCCTGCCAGTTCATAACAAGCTCACCTTTCTGGCTTAATGGGCGTATCTTCTGCTAAAATTCAAATGCTCGTGGAAGTGATAACTTTAAAATGTGTCAATCTCTTAGAGCCAGGGTTGCATAATGGTTTTCCCCCTTGTGCCAACTCTTACTGTGGTGGTGGCTGTCAGGGCTGCTCCATTAGGCAGAGTTACGAGGCTAATCCTCGGCTCAGCGGGAAGGAACAGTGTGCTGGCTGGAGAGTCCGCCCTGGGTGCGAGATGACCGGTGGTGGCAGCAGCCCACATGCCAGGCATTTCTAGGTCCTGATTTAATGTGAGTGAGGTGGCCGCTCCTCCTCTGATACCAAAGTGGAAGAGAAAATCTGACCTAAAAACTTACTTCTGAGTGAATTTCCTAGTGACCACCAGGAAGGGAGAAAGGAAGCAAGGCCCTCTCCAGACAAGTCTCCTATTTGCCAAAACCACAGCTTCCCAGCAAAAGTGCCGCCTGACTCAGTGGGTGCCAACATTTGAGTACTTTAAAACTCTCTAAAAGTTCTCAGATCTCATGCATTTCTAGTTGTGAGCTTAAGTCAGCTGAGCGCTCACATAAGATGAAAAGATTCATAATGACATGAGGCCTTCATCACAACCATCCCTAACACAGCCCACGGTCCACAAAAATCCAAGGCCTACATATTAGGAAGCCCCTTTTCCCCCACTCCAGAACACTATATTCATAATTCCATATTTGGAAACTGATATAAAAATCTGTATATTTGAGCAGAATTTTCCAGTCCCAGCTCCTGGAGTCCGGCCAAGGTTAGCTGTCTCCTAGGCAATATTACTGTCTCTTTATAAAGATCCAGCCATCTCTGTCCCTCCTCCCCACGTGCCAGGACCCAGCTTTCCATTTCTCTGCCAGATAGCCCTTAGCAATTGCCAGAAACTCTGGAAGCACCTCCATTTCTTGCCCCTCTCTTCTCTTCCCCTAAAGCAGCAGGAGACACGGGAAGGGGAACTGCCATTCCAGATGCACTCCCTCTTATTCTTTTGGACATTAGGGCAACCCCGTCATCACCACTGCCACCAGAGTGGATACACGCTGCAACGTCCAAGTTGTCCTGTACTCTCCCTTGTGTGACTTCTTAATCCCTTTAAATGCTGCAGATAAGCGTGCTCAGGACCCAAGCTGGGTCCATTATAGAGCCTGGGCTCAGGACTAAAGCTACAGGAATACACATATATATTAATATAAGCAAAGTCGAATTGAACGTTAATCAGATAATTATGCAACAGCTTACTCTTTTGAAAAGCAGAACAGACCCAGGAAGCAGGAAATCATAGATCGAGGCCCTGCAGAGGGTTCTAAAGCATGTCTCTGCCTCTCCTCTGGTGGGAGGGTGTTGGCCTGTGGCCCGTGCCCAGCACTCAGCAAATCATCCACTGAGCACCCACTGCCCGCCGGGTACCGGGATCGGGGAACTGATAGGCTGTGTGCTTCTCTTTAGTAGGTTTTTAAAAATCATTTGAAATATATCTCTTTAGCATCTATACTTTGCTTCCAACATCAAAACAAAGAAAAAACAGTTTTTCCTCTTGAATTAGAACTTGAGTATTTTAAACCAGGAGAGTCTCCCCACAACTGTTTTATCAAACATCTTTTGTGTTTTGTGAATTTTACCACCATAAAGACTTCTCCATGTTAACCATTAAGTGAAAGAAGCCAGACCCAAAAGGTCACACATATAGTATGATTCCACCTCTATGAAATATCCAGACCAGGCCAGCCTACAGAGGCAGAAAGCTGATACGTGGTTGCCAAGGATGGGGCAGGGAATGGGGGAGACTGCTTGGTGGGTACAGAGCTTCCCTTTGGGGTGACGGGTATCCTACATTGTGAACGTTCAAACTGCCACTCAATTGTACACATTAAGATGTTTGTTTTTAATTTATACTTGTTGTATAAAAATTTATACGTACAGACAAAAAAGTTGTTTCTACCATGTGCCTAATTACTGGCATGTGTATGGGGAGAAGGCACTGAATGAAGGGTTACAAGCATTTGTCCTGTGTGTTTTAGATGCACTTAGTCCAGGCTCTGCCCCTCACTCAGTGACTTGAGGGAACGTCAGTGATCTCTCTAGTCCTTCTCTGTCAAGTATCAGTAATCCTTATGCCTCCCACTCAGTGCTGTTCTAAGGTTACCGAGATATTTGATGGAAAATGCTCAGCACAGGGATGGGCACTTTGTACACATCCAATTAATCTGGACTCAGAAGGTGTGCCAAAGCCAAGGCACCGAGGAGGAAAAGGAGCCGGTACGGTGGGAGGTGGGGTGGTGTGTGGCAGAATTCGAGCTATAAATACTCACAGATTGAGATTCACCCATACTAAGCATCAAAGAGCATAATGCAGCATGTTTTGCCCTTGGGCATCCCTGTGTGGCTGGGGAATGTTACTCAACTTCAGCTCCTCTCTCTGAGAAGGAATAGCAGCCCTCCCGGACCTGGCAAAGTTGTCAGCTTCAAGGAGGACAGAGACCAAGGGAGAAAGGCTTTGGCTGGTGCAGAATCAGTGAGATTTTCCTGACAGACTCTGGTGACTTGGCAGCTAAATGTCAGGTTTCAGGCCAGAGCAGAAGCGTGTTTACTTAAAAACAAGCCCAGAGGAAGGCACGGGAGTCTGGCTTTTCCAGCTACTTAACGATGTTAAACATCTGTGCTATGGAGGTCAAAGTAGCTTAGGAATTAGAGAACAGCACATGTTCACATGACTGCAAATAAAGGAAAGTAGCCCTTTACCAAGTTCATTGTTCCCACTAAACAATTTTTAAGATTTTTTGGGGGAAAAAAAGCTTCTGTTCTAAGGGTTAAGATATACAAATAAACCCACCCGTCCGGAGAGATGAACCTTTTGTCTAACCACTTGAATGTCTGTACCTCACAGCTGTCTTTGGCAGATGAAACAGAGCTCTGTGAACTTTATCTCAGGAATTCTTTTCCTTTTACAGCAAGAAGCCAAAACCACATCAAAGCACACCTCCCCAGCAGAAGCCTCTGACCTTAGCCTACGACGGAGACTTAGACATGTAACCTGAAAAAGAAACCCAAATGTAGACATCGACTGCCTTAACCGCTTTCTCTTTTGTAGCTCAGACTTCTCAGTTTTTTGAGGAATCTCATGATGTGATATATCGGGCAGAATACAAATACTGCAAAAGTAATATTGCCTCAACTTCGTTTGGATGTGGAGTCAAGGATTAACAGGTCTGCCATTTTGCTTTCAAGTTGTTTGTGGGTGTGAGTGTTTAATTTTTTGATTTTCCCAAGGGACCTGAAACCCCTTCTCTTCCTGTTTGGAAACGGGAGGAAGAAAATGGGATGGAATTCCCACAGACTTAAGTGAACTGTATCCTCAGCCGCATGATGACAATCCGGAGGAGAGTCCAATCAAGGCGTTTACTGTAAATGACGAGTCCCACAGTGCATCGTTACGCACTATATTAGTGCAGATCTCTTCTCATCCTTCAGCACTGAGTTTTCTAGAGTTTACATTGGTTCAAAGACTTTCAGATTGGGATGGCCTATTTTCATGAACACAGAATAGGTTACCATTTCAGAAATGTTCTGAGTTTTTACCTTTAAATAGTATATTTTGTTTGTAGCCAGGGACATGATGGCACTTCATGGGTTGCATCTATTGAAAACAAATGGAATGTGTGTAATTTCTGGACCTGATGAAAGCTAGATGGTTTTGGATGAAATGTGTATTGAATGTCAGGGTGTACAAATGAAACAGTTGGTTCTGTTAGAGAATGAGGTGAATTATTTAATTACTAAAACTGTATTTTAACAAAAACTTAGCCATGTAGATACAGCATTAACCACCCACACTTGCAATTCAGTTTAATGATGACAAACCCTGCTTTTGTAATTTCAATTTTCTTATCTGAATATTTATAAATTCTTTTTTTGAATTTAATTATCTGACCTCATTTAATAGACATCGAACACCGATCCTGTTTGTAGCCGGTCTTGCTTTTATAAAGGTTTCAATACCGAAGACAACACATTCAAAAGCTGAAACCATTTTATGAGGATACGTGTTTGTAATCATAGATGTTGACAAGTAAGAAGGCGCCATCTTGTGGTTTTGACTTGTATTTAAAACAAATAAAGTGCTCAAGAGACTGAGATGTTGACTGTTGTAGATTCATTCATTTCAGAAGAGCCCATGCTTTGACAAAAACAGCTTTAGTAATAGCTTCCCCGTGTCACTGTGTTAGAGGGTGACAGCTGAAATCACTGACAGAGGAAAGGAATCTTACCCCACATTTTCAACACTATTGGTTACACTATGAAATGGAGCCAAGCACAGTTACACGGAGTAGCTTTTAAGGAATATCTACAGCTTAGTACGTATCAGAACAAAGCTCTATGGTAAGGCAGACGCCGGTACATAAGTGACCCGAGAAGCCTGAGCAGATGGAAATGTTAGAAACACGATACCATGAGCACAGTAGGGGATCTCTTTATTTATACTATGACTTCTGTTAACCACTTGAACACTGACTAACTGATTTTAGTCCGTGGCACCGTGGTTTTACATGAAAGCAGAAGAGCTATGTCAATGCCGTGGCTGAGGAAACAAGTCCTAGAGTTGTCCTGTTCTTAGTTCTCGTCAGCTAACGCTTCAGTTGTCCTCATGGTAGGTCAGACCTAGCTGCGCCCTTTACTGCCTGTGTGATCCTAGGTGAGGATTATCGTTATCTCTGCCTCAGTTGTAGGACCCGCAAAACGAAGACAATGAAGTCATTTTCCTCGTAAGCTAGACACTTATCAGTCAATGTAAAATGGGGTTGTGGTTCAAGATGGCAACGTAGGAGTATCCTGAATTCACCTCCTCCCACAAATGTACCAAATCTACAGCTCCCTATGGGCAGGGCCTCCGAGAGAAACCCCAGAACTTGCCGAGTGACTCCTGCACATCAAGCAAACAGAAAAAAAAAGAACAAACATCAAAATGGGTCAGAGAGGCTGAGACATCATCCTTCCACAAGCCACACCGCTGGTGCAGTGGCATCAAGAGACACTTACAACCCCCAGCTTCTCCCTGAGAAGTACAAGGTTTGAATCCCACATTGGCACCCCAACTTTTAACACCTGTACCTGAAAGACAGGCCTTCAAAACATCTTACTCAGAAAGCCAACAGGGCTTCTGACCACAAGGCCATAACAAACTAAGGAACAGCTATAGAAGAGCTTGCATGGACTCACTGTGGCCACCTCACAGGGCCCAGGAGAGACACTCAATTGAAAAGTGTCCGGAATTTTTGTGAAAGAGGCTTATTTGCATATCTTACAAGCTTTGACCTGAAGGGCAGGCCTCTGATTTAATACTCATCTGGGGGCTAACTGAAATACTCTCCAAAGGCCATGGAGGCTGGTGGGTGCCATCTTTGTGCTCTCTGCTCTTTCTTACCCCAGGTCTCCAGCATCTCATGGAAGGGAGCTTGTTCACACATTTGGTGCCCTGGTTTTCACACTGCCACCCAGGCTTCTGGACATCCTGACCGTCTGGCTCTGGTAGCCAGCGGGGCTTATGTTAGCAGCTCCCACACGACTATAACACAAGTGTTTCTTAACCAGCTTCCCTGCCCCCCCCATCACTAAAAGGCACAGTGCAGAGGCAGAGACAGAAATGCCCACCCAGTCATTCCATGAAAGAGGCCTATTAGCTTATCTTTATAGCTGTCATCTGAGAGGCAGGCACAATTTTAGGAGCTAACGGCAATCCTCTCTGGAGACCAGGGAGGCTGGCAGGGGCTATCTTTGGGCTCTCCCTCTCCTCTTCCCCAGGTCACTGGTATCTCCAAGAAGGAGCTTGTACACACGTCTGGCACCCCACCCTTTGTGGCTGCTGCCCAGAGGACGCATCCCTTGACAGTCTGGTTCTGGCAGCCTGTAGGGCTTGTGTCCATAGGTTTGACAGTATGGTAGCAAACAAAGAAACAGTTCTTAACTATCTTTCACCCCAGGGCTAAGCTCTGAGGGAAGAGACAGAAATGTCCAACTCCCAATCTTCCTGAAGGAGGTATTTTGCGTACTTTGAAAGCTGCTACGTGGGAACCCAGCATCCATTCAGCCTGAATCTAGGTGCTGACTGAGATCCTCCCTTCTGGGACACAGACAGGTCTTGACACACCCTTAACTACTAACAGCCACTATGAACAAAGTAGGTACTTGGACAATCACAGAGTTTTGAGAGACAGCCAAGGGCCTGGGCAGGGTTGAATGAAGAGTTCCATCTACACAAAACCACTTTTTCAAGACTAGGAGAGATGGCCGTTTTATCTGTGGCATAGAAACCAACAGAGAATGTCAAGGAAAATGAACAAGCAGAGGAATGTGTTCCAAAGGAAAGAACAAGATAAACCCTCATAAAAAGACCTTGGTGAAGTGAGGATAATACTTTACCTGATAGAGTTCAAAATAATCACCATAAAGATGCTTATCAAGGTCAAGAGAGCAATGCAGTGACGAACTGAGAGTTTCACCAAGAGAGAGAAAACATAAACAGAAGTCGCAGAGCTGATGAAAACAATGACTGACTGGAAAAACAGACCAGAAGAGTTCAGCAGTGGGCTAGCTGAAGTGGAAGGATAGATCAGCAAACCTGAAGACAAGGCAGAGAAATTCATTCAATCACAGCAGCAAAAAGAAGAATAATGAGTGAAGACAGCTTAAGGGACTTATGGGAGAAAATCAAGTGGAGCAATATTTGCAGTACAGTAGTCCTAAAGAAAGCAGAGAGCAAAGGGCAGAAAATGCCTTTAAAGAAATAATAACTGAAAACTTCCCTAACCTGGGGAAGGGAACAGATATGCCAATCCACAAAGCCCAGAGAGTTCCAAATATGACGAACACAAAGAAACTCAAAGAAGGACACATTATAAGTAGACTGTCAAAAGTTAAAGACAAGGAAGACTCTTAAAAGCAACAAGAGAAAAACAACTTGTTTCATACAGGAACCCTGCAAGACTATCAGAAATTTTCAGCAGAAACTTTGCAGGCCAGAAGGGTATGACACAACACATTCAAAGTACTGAAAGAAGAAAAGTGCTAAGAAAGAATATCTGAAAGAATTCATCACCACTAGACTGGCAGATAGGAAATGTTAAGTTTTTAAGCTGAAACAAAAGGACACTAATTAGTAACATAAATTTATGCAAGTATAGATCTTACTGGTAGAAGCAAATATTGTAAAAGTCAGAATAATCTAATGTGGGGGGTTAATCACATGTAGTCAGTATATGAACTTTAAAAGATAAGAGTAGTAAATAACTATAACTACAAATCATTTGTTAATGGTACACGAGATAAAAAGAAGGTAACTGTGACATCAAAACATAACATGTGGGAGGGGGAGTAACTATGTAGAGCTCCAGAATTCAAACTGATGATATTACCAACTTAAAA